AGGGCACAATTCAGAGCCTGGCCACACAGGGGCAGGTCAAAAAGGGCAAAGCATTCCCAGAAAGCCAGGAAGTCCCGTGCTCGGCTCAGTCTTTCCCTGCCTGTGCACGCATGCATGGTTGACCCTGTGCAGCTACTGCCGACATGGATTCTCGGGAGCAGGGATCCCGTTTCACCCATTTCTACATGCTCAGCTGCCTACGCCATCCTCAGTGGATGCACAGAATATGCACAGACCCATATGGTGTTGAGTTGACTCGGACTGTATCAAAAATTCCAAGCTGCCTGCTCTTCTGTGCCAGGCGTGGTGTTCTTCGGTTATGCCTTTGCCCCTTCTCTCGCTTTTGTTGTTGCTGACTTGTGTTTTGTCGGGGAATTTGGATTAGATTTGGGTGTTCCTGAAGAACTTTTAGCTTAATATAAATGTTAGCCCAGATTTGTTCACTTCAGCTCCATGTTGTCTCTTTCTTTGAGGAACCAATCAAGGGTTATTTACCTTGAGAATATGACACAGCCTGCTTGGTCCTTCTCTGCCCCTCTCATTTTCCAAGTGAGTACCCGCAGAAATGCTACATTACGCATTTGTTTAAGTCTGATTCCATTTAAAGTGCTTTTGGACATTTAAGGACCACCCTCCACTTTGCCTTCCTGTCCAATGTGAATCTTTGCTATTGGGTTTGCTAAAGGAAAGTTCTTCCTTTAGAATGGATGGCTGTATGCAGGCTGTTTTCACGTCGTCTCCTTGCTCAGGCAGGGACGTGGAAACTCTAGCCTCTTAGCTGACTTGCATGCGAATCCCAATAGGAACCTACTTTCAAAGAAGGTCTTCAAAAAAGAGAAGATGTGGCCAAAATCAGCAGTCCCAAAAGAGATCATTAAATAACAGGTGTGATTCTATGTTACAGTGACTACAAACAAGCTGTCTGCTGTCAACCAAATCTCACACACACACACACACACACACACACACCAAGTCGGTTGGGTCTTTAGACAAGAGCCTTCCAGCAAGTCACTAAATGGCTACTACCTAACCTTCAAAATTCCTAAAAATCATTTCCACTGTCTTGGTCATGTAAGACACAAGAGCTAACTTAGACTCAAATGAGTCCGTACCTCCTTCTGGATGGGTAGGAGGTATACACATCAGGGTGGTGGGTCAACAGCAGCCGAGTCTGGAGACCCTGCCTTCCTGTTACACCTTGCTTTCTCACTTCATGACTCCAAAACTGTTTTTATTCATCTCTAGTGAGAAGCTGCCTCTACTCCCTTCCTTTCTGTGGCTGTTAATAAGAATGGTTCCCAAAGGCTCACCTATCTGAATGATTAGTTACCTGGGAGTGGAACTATTTGAAAGGATTAGAAGTATTAGGAGGTATGGCCTGGCTGAAGGAAGTATGTCAATGGGGCTGGGCTTTGAGGTTTCAAAAGCCTGATCAGGCCCAGACTCTCTTCTCTTCCTGCTCCCTCTAGATCAGGATGTAGAACTCTCAGCTACTTTTCCAGCACATCTGCTTGTGTGCCACCTTGCTCCCTGTCATAATGATGATGGACTAAACCTCTGAACTGTAAGCCAGCCCTCAGTTAGATGTTCTCTTTCATTAAAGTTGCCTTGCTCATGGTGTTTCTTCACAGCAATAGAACAGTGACACTTCTACTCATAATCACCCTAAGTAACATCAAAGAGATTTGACAGTTTTCTCAATGAAGCCAAAGAACTGAACAGTCAGAGAAGGTCTCCTTACAGAGACTGGAAAGCTTTTTGTTTTAGAGTTTTATAAACAGCGGACGAAGTTCATAGAACTCAAGTGTGTCACATATTCATTTTCAACATTCCAGACTCCTGTGGCCTCCATACCTTTTCATCAGAACACAGAATTGGGACCCCAAACGGCAAGCTGCCTCCTGAAGATCTTGTCTGGGCTTATAGTTGAAAATGGAAGGAAGTCCAACTAAGAGAGAAAAATGTAAAAGAAGGGGGCAGGATGGGAATTCAACAAAGAAATAGCTCTTGGAAGTTTGGAAAATTTGGAAGTCTTCTGTCTGAAAGGAATGTGAATCTGGAAAAGCATCAAAGTTCAGCAGAGAGAGAGGGAGGCTGAAAGCCTAGAAGACCCCACCAGCACCCTAAACCCCTCCCCCAACTGAGGATGCAGACTTGGGGGGGGCAAGAAGAGAACCACCTTCTTTCCCCTCAGTCTGAGCATCTGCCTCACGCCCCACTTCCTGACCCGACAGGGACAGCTCTAATTATTTCCCTCCTCAGAAACATCTCTGACCTTCTCTTCCCAGGACCTCAGAGAAGGGCAGGAAGACAGAGGAAAGCCTAGGAGTATCCCTTTTCTTGTTGGGGGCACAGGGAAAGAGCTGAATCCAGTGGCCAGCCTTTGTGTGTGAGGCTACACTCTCAGTACTGGGTGCTCAGGAGGCTACTGAAGGACCAGTGGTTCGAAACCAGCCTGGGCAACACAACAAGACCTATGTCAGAGTAAACAAACAAACAAACAAACATCTCCAGAGGGGGTGGCGCTGAGTGCCTATAATTCCAGCACTTGAGAATCAAAGACCAGCTGGGGCTACCGGGTGGGTTCCTGTCTCAACACAACAACAAAAATAAAAATCCGTAAGCACAAACATAAATCTCTATATAAAACATCAGTACAGACGTGTGGAGGCTGCTTCCAGCTGCACAGAGCCATTCACTAGTTAAAGGAGTCAGGGAAATAGAGGCTATGTTTTCTTTGTATTTCATACTATTTTAAATTATCTTCCAGGCGTCTCATGCTATTTCCTCACCCTTCATACCATGACAGTCTTATAGGGCTTATGTCCAGAAAGGGAGATGGTTCTGTTGTCCAGAAACCCTCAGGTCTCTGCAAGCCCCAACACTTGTCAGTGATAAACCAAGGTCAGGAAAAGCTGACAGAGACATCCCATCTGGGTAAGCCACTCAGAGGAGCAGCTGGGTGCAGGACTGGAATGTAGTTACAGCCACAAGTCCTACTTGAGGTCCTAGGCTGGATTCATGGCATCTCAATAGAAAAAGGCCACTGGCACCCAGTCCTTCAGCTACCCACAGTGCCCTGGTGGTTCTTGGTCACCTTCCTTCCTTGAGCCCCTTTCAGGCCACCAGGGGACCAATTCGCAAACTATCTACCCTTCCCTGAAGCAAGCAAGCCTCTAATGGATAAGGGGGGCGGCGGGTAAGTCCAGCTTGAGCTCTGGAAGCCTCCCTGTCTCTTAGACCCAATCATTAGATCAGAAACGGGGAGGAGCAGAAATGGAGGGAGAGGAGGGGAAGGAAAGAAAAAGAAAACCCCAACAACAGAAAGAAAGACAGCCTGGCCCTCAGCTCCTTTGGGATGGAGAACTCCATTCAGAGTTTTCAGAAAGTGGGGTCAGGCATGTCATATGACCTGAGACCCCCAAGTCCTCTGTTCCCCGTAATTATCGAATACAGCACTCTCCCTGCCAGATACAATGAAGCAATTTGTCACTTCAATTATCTGTCAGTCAGCACCAAGGCTTTTCAGCAGGCCCGCACATGTGCTTGGAGAGTCTATCAGTGAGGCCGTCTCGCCAGACCCATAACCATGGAAAATGGAACCTTTGTTGATAATGCTCTCAGAGAAGGAAACCCATTCAGTCTCTCTCCACTGCCCCCTCTGCTCTAAACGCCCTGGGACTGCCTCCTTCCTCCTCTGAGCCTTGAGGGACTGGCCACAGGCTCTGCGTGAAGAAACAGAAATACATTATTCTTAACAGGCTCTTTCCCTCGGTTTCTATAATTCTGCATTTAGAATAGAGATTACCCAGTGTGTTACCTACCACCCCATGGGGTGGAAGGGAAGTGTGGCCACTCAGGATGTCCTAGGGCTCTTTGTGTAGGCCCTATTCGGGTCAGTCCTAAGGTGTTTCCTCAGCTCCCACTGCCTGGGCCACCCTACCTGAGGAATGCTGCCTCTGGAGGAGGTATAAGGGTAGCTTTGAAGAAAGAAAGAAAGAAAGAAAGAAAGAAAGAGAGAGAGAGAGAGAGAGAAAGAAAGAAAGAAAGAAAGAAAGAAAGGGAAAAAGAAGGAAGGAAGAGAGAAGAAAGGAATAAAAGGGAAAGAATAGAAAGAAAGAGAGAGAAGAGAGAGAATCCTTATACAGGGCAAATTTTGGTTGTTGCTTGAAGGGGATCTAGAGGCTTCTGACTGGAACTGAGTGTCCCTGTTCCTGGGTAAGGACACAGATCTCCTCCACGTGGAATAAGACATCCTTGGCATGGGAGGTCAAGATTGCCTCCCCATGTGTAGGTCACAGGGACTCCTAACATGGGTGATGATGGAGAATCCCTCCATGGGGGAGATGAGAAGGGAGGAGACCTCCTTCAAGTGAGGTCAACACTTCCTGTTTTTGGGAGACAGGGACTGCCACCATGTGAAGGAAAAGGGACTCACTCACTCCTTGTGTGGGTATGTGGACTCACTCAATGTGTGTAGGTGGCAGGATCCCTTGTTGGAGGACAAGAACCTCCTCCATGTTGGAGGACAAGAACCTCCTCCATGGGAGGATGAAGGCCTCATTTATCTGTGGGGTCTGAACTTCCTCCATTTATAGAGGTAAGACCTCTTCTGTGGGGATATGGAGGACAGAGACCTGCATGGAGGGAGAGAGAGACCTCCTCTCCATGGGAGGACAAGCCTGCCTCCGTGTGTGTGGGTTAGACTTGCCACCCCTGTAACAAATCCCAAGGAAAGTCAGTTTACAGAAGGAGATTTTTATTTTGGCTCAGCTTCACATGTTCCAGTCCATGGTCACCGGTTCCTTGCTTCTGGGTCTGTTAACAATCTTGGTAGAAGAACACAACATGGTTTCTGTGTTTGTTAACTTGACACAAACCTAGACCTAACCAGGAAGAGGGAATCTCAGCTGGCTTCACCAGACTGGCCTGTGGGCATATCTATGGAACTTTGCATTTTAAAAAAATTTTATTTAGCTCTCCGCCTGCTCGCCGCCATCATGGACACGAGTCACGTGTGGCCCATCAAGCTTGCTAGGGTAATCAAAGTGCTGGGCAGGACCGGTTCGCAGGGACAGTGCACGCAGGTACGTGTGGAATTTATGGATGACACCAGCCACTCCATCATCCAAAACGTCAAAGGTCCCGTTCGAGAGGGAGACATGCTCACCCTATTGGAGTCAGAAAGGGAGGCTCGGAGGTTGCGTTGACCTTCCTGCTTTCCTGCTGGGTCCTGAGTATCTACCACTTGGCCCATGATGACCTGAGACTATTAAATAAAGCATTTGTATTTTTTTTTAAAAAAATATTTATTATATTATATATATATATATGACTGTTTTGCCTATACGCATATCTGTGTGCCATGTTCACATCTGTGTAGGAAAAGGCTGCTTGTTTGTCCCAGCTGCCCAGAACAGAAATAATCACACAGAAACTGTATTAATTAAATTGCTGCTTGACCCATTAGCTCTAGTTTCTTATTGGCTAACTCCTACATCTTAATTTAACCCATTTCTATTAATCTGTATATCATCACAAGGTCGTGGCCTATCAGCAAAGTTCCAGAACATCTATCTCCGGCCGTGGATCCATGGCGTCCCTCTCTGACTCTTTCCTTCTCCTAGCATTAGTTCTATCTTCCCTGCCTACCTAAGTTCTGCCCTATCAACAGGCCAAGGCAGTTTCTTTATTCATTAACCAAGAAAAGCAACACACAGACAGAAGGACCTCCTACACCACATCTGGTCCTCTTGGAGACCTGAAGAGGGCAATGGATCCCCTAGGACTAGAGTTACAGATGTTTGTGAGCCACCATGCAGGTGCTGGGAATTGAGCCCCTGCCCTCTGGAAGAACAGCTGGAAGAACAGCCAGTGTTTGTAACCACTGAGTCCTCTCCAGGCCCTGTGGGGCATTTTTCTTAATTGCTTGCTAGTGTAGGAGTGCCAAAGACACTAAGGGCTATCCTTAGGCAAGTGAGCCTGGGTTTCAGGAGAAAGATAGCTCATCAATCCAAGTGACACAAGTCAGTAAGCCACATCCCTCCATGGTCTCTGTTTGAGTTCCTGCTTTGGTTTTTCTCAATAACAGACCGTAACCTGTAAGCCAAATAATCATTTCCTTTCCAAGTTGCTCTTGGCTACGGCGTTTATCACAGCATCAGAAAGAAAACTAGAACAGAGGATGCTAGGAGAGGTTCATCTCGTGGTAGCTAAGAGGCCGGGGAGAAAGCAGCCTGGAACAAACGATTCTCCTAAGGGCATGCACTTAATGATAAGGAGAGGAAGGAAATCAGGATTGAGGTCAAGGATAGGGACCTCAAATCTGTATTCTTAGTCAGAAACCAGAAGTTCCCTTGGTCCTGTCTTGGCCAGGGGCTAGAAATGCCAGGAGTATTTGGGATACCTAACAATTTTAGGGTACCAACTCTTAAAGAGGGAATACTATGGTAGCCTTAGAGACCACTGAAGATGAATCCCTCCTTCGTGTTCAGCTTTGAGCCCCCCTTTCCATTTCCATGACAACAAAGCGAGGTCAACGTTGCCACCCCTAACCCTCCTGGTCAAGGCAGAGAACTATTTCTCACCCAGGGAGATGTGCCGGCCGTTTACTGCTCCCTGAAGAACTGATCTAACTGGACCTGTCCATCACTTGTCCAGGAGCCCACCCCAAAGGAAATCACCTGAAGAAATGTTAAGACAGTGGGAGGAATAACTATTCCCTTAATGAGATAATGCATTCCAGTTTCCCAGAAACCTCTTCTCTGTGCAGCCACTTGAGGAACTGTTACTATAGAGCCCCGTAGAGCCTCAAATGTGACTGACTTTTCTTTCTCTTTTTCTTTGGAACACTAGCCAAAGCCTAAATATGTTTTCCCTGCACTTTTCACTTGTCCCCTGAAGCTGCATCCTTCTCCACCCCCTTCCGCCATGAGGTTGCCCTTCCATCCTGTGCCTGCTTATTAACTTCCATCATACAAGCACAGCTTTCTCTCCTCATTCTCATGTCCCTTATCCGAGCATCTGCCAACATTTACAGCCTACCTGCCTGCCTTGTTTTTTCTCTCAAGCTGTGATAAATTGTCCCCAAGCTTTCTGCTCCGTCTAAATTCTTTTATCAACTAGCCAAAGAGCCCCCAAAGAGGGAACCTTCGCTTACCTAATAACGTAAGGAGCCTAGCTTTCCTAGTAGACCCCACTCTGAAAATGCCCATCTCCTCCCAAGAAGGGAATCAATTAAGAACCCATGACTGGATTAGCATCCTGATTCAGTGAGAGGTTTCAGCATCTCCCCACCTCTCAATGATTTATTCAAAAATAAAATATGTTTATATGCCAAGATGGGGCCCAAATCCTTAACACACAACCTTGTGTGGGGACACTTTACAGCCATAGTGTAACATGGACAGAGACCTTCTCCATAAGGGGGACAAGAACCTATCTCCTCCATACAAACACCACCCCTATGAGCTAAATAAAAAGAAGGAAACGAACTGAGTGACGGCATTAGCTTCTCTGCTTCTTGAATGTAGACGTGCGGTGAGCAGCTGTCTCCAGCTCCTGCCAACATGCATTTCCTACCCTGATAAGCTAAATGCTTTGGGTAGACATCTTGTCATAACAGTGAATAATTAATACAAAAGGCTGGAGAGATGGCTCAGCGGTTAAGACCACTAGCTGGTCTTCCAGAGGTTCAGTTTCCAGTGGCCACCCCCATCCCAATGGCAGCTCACAACTGTCTGCAACTCCAGTTCCAGGGGATCCAACATGCTCACACAGGCTTGTGTGCAGGCAAACTACTGATGCACATAGAATAAAAATAAATCATTCAGAACAGAACAATGGAAAACAACAAAATCCAGCAAGGCCACAGGGATCCTTCATATCAATAACTTCCCATAAGAGTCCGGTGGTAAATGTCCCCCCCGCCCCCCGCCAAAGTCAGGTGCTGTGTGAAGTTTGGTGTCTCCATTCAGGCTTGAGAATTAAACACTATAAGGCAGAGGGCTAGTACTAAAGCCAAAATTACTGACCCAGGGAAGGTCCCCTCTGTATTAAATGTGGGAGCTAATAGTAGGATATGTGGTCCCTTCCTAGTAGCATTATGTTTGGGGTGGTTTCCATTCTTAAAACATTGGACAATAACAGATTTACAATGTATTTTGGGTTTTGCACAGCTTTATGTGCTGGGTCATTTATCTGGAGATCCTCACTCCCTCGTGTGAATCTGTCCTGTCCCCCAACATCACACTCTGTATTTGCACATCAGTCCAGAAAGCTGGAATACTTTCTAGGTTGCTGTATTTTTCGGGGGGGAGGGGTCTTCCTTCTCCTCCTTGCTGCCCAGAACGCAGCAACATAGAACACACTTAAGTCTTTTCTAAATACTAGAGCGGCATCCCCAAGACTCTAGAGAAAAGGGGTCTCTGAAGACTTTGAAGAAATTGCCACATTGCTCTTATTCGTTCTTTTTCCTAATGTTTATTTTGTGTGCATTGGTGTTTTGCCTGCATATATGTCTGTTGAGGGTGTTGTTTCCTGGAGTTACAGACAGTTGTGAGCTGCCATGTAGGCAGTGGGAATTGAACCTAGGACCTCTGGAGGAACAGCAGTAGGCAGGGGACTCTTAACTGCTGAGCTGTCTCTCCAGCCCCATCACTCTTATTTGTTAATGGAGTTTATTTTGCTTCATCTATTTTTGTTGCTACCTGGAGGCAGTGGTTTGGTGTTGAGAATTAATTTTGGAATGCTTATGCCAGTATCCCACCACAGAGTTACACTCCCAATTTGCAGGCCCATTAGTTCAGGCTAACCTTTGCCTTTAGTCTAGTAGAATCATTCTCTCCTCTTTTTCCTGCTTTTTTTTCTCTCTGTCTGTTCTTTGTTCCTTCTAGTCTCTTTCTGTTGTGTGTCCAGCATTTTCCCAGCCAGTGTTCTTTATGTTTTCTGACTTGTTTTCTTTCTCTTAGAACCCAAAAGAACTTCAGGGTCATCTCTGTAATGCTGGGGATACAAAAGAGTAATGTGGATCTCCTACTTTATGAGAAAGAATTTGAAGTCTAAATGAGTGCTCTTAAATTGAGTCATAGCCAAATCAAACAATCGATATGCAAACATCAGCCAGACTCAACTTTGGCTTGTGTCCCCAGAGAGTCTCCCCAACTTCATTGCCCTCCAGAACAGGGTATGCTTTCTCCACCTGACTTTAGTGGCAGGGTTCCCCAACAAGGAAGTCAATCACCCAGCATGAATACAGTCCAGGAAGGAGCTGGCTTTCTTCCTAAGAATGAGTTGAGCCTCCTCCAGCTCTCAGTTCCCCGAAGGCCATGTAGAAAATCCGTGCTATGTAAACAAATATTCTAGAAGTTAACTTGACTCCATAGAATGACTGCCCATTTTGAGAAGCTACACACCTCCCTCCAACTGTATTAACAATTAGTAAAATTGTCTGGGGTTATTTTCGGGGGTGGGGAGGTGAGGGATGCACAAGGACCTTACATGTCCCTTCCGACATGTATCCAGATGGTTCAGGGAGCCACACCTTCGCTCTCTTATGTTTTTCAGATTTTATTCTGTCTGACCTTGGGTATTTCCCAAAATTCAGGCCTACTCTGAGCATAGGAAAATGAGACAATATGTCACTGGAATAGGAAAACCAGCCACATTAGGGTGCCATGAACAAACCGTACCCCAATCCTGAAAGCAATTCCAAGAGCTAAACTTTTGAGAGGAATCAAGTCAAGTCAGGATGGGGACTGTTAGAGATCAGTGTCTGCAAAGGTCCCGTGTGTGCTGCCGTGAAGTGGGGATAAATGGCAGCCTGGAGGCTGAAGGACGCAAAGAGTCTGACCCCAACACTGGGCAGGGGACAGCAGCCCCTGTATTCTCTCATGCTGGAACCAGTATGTGAGGGTTCTCACGCTTTACACCTTCTCCTCAGCTTCTCTACTTCGTTTCCCCCAGATACTCTTCATCTTATTGAGGTCAGTGTTTAACCTTTCACCTCTAGTAACCTCCACTGTTTGCTCCTTGGGAAACAGTGACACCACTGCTCTCTCTTCTGGTCACTCCCCAAAGAAAGTGGCAGAGTGAGCTGGCTGTTGGTGCCATGTGGGGCACAGCTAGTGGGTTGTCTGATCCCATCTAGCTTAGCACAATTTAAAAACATTGCCCCAGAAACCCTGGCAGCGATGTCTCAGCATTCCTCACC